CACTGAGCTGCAAATCCCTATAATTACAAAGCCAAGTGTCATTTATTTAAAAGCTCAAAGATGAGATGGTTTCTCCCAACTTCTAGGACATCTGAGCACTTTGGAGCTGAGCTAAAGTTGACATCACATTCAGCCAAGTTGCTTACCAAAGAGATGGAGCCCTTGCTGAACCCAATCACCATCTTTCCTTGTTTCTGGACCGAGACCCCACAGGTAAGTGTTTCTTCTTTGACGCTGGACAAATGTTGATTCTTCTGCAGTTTTCCTGTGGCTGAGCTCCACAGACTGACCACGTCACCCCTGGAAACGGTCAGCAGCGTGGCCTGGGAAGTCAGCGCTGCTGTGAACGTCCAGGGGTCAGAGGCCTCTCCCAGGATACGGAAAATCAGCGCTGCAGTTTCCAGATTCCAAGCACTGACCTAGTGGAATGACGAAAAGGAAGAGACATGTGAGTGCAGACCTAGGCTGCAAGTTTTCCAGAGTCAAATGCAAGACCTGTTATTTTTTTTCTTTTTCTGTTATTGCAAATTTTTCAAAAATTTATACAATTTTTAAAGGTTGCTTTCCATTTAAAGTTATTACATAGTATAGGCTATATTAAGATCTGTTCTTTTTATACTTCATGAATCTTATTGCCAGTCCAAAAAAAGATGGGGAAGGTATCCTGGATTGACTGATAGAAAGACAGAAGGACATTCATGGAAAAATTGATAAAATCCAAATAAAGCCTGGAGTTTAGCTGATAGTAATAATCAATATTAATATCTTGGCTTTGACATATGTACTCTGGTTATGTGAGATGGTGACATTAGAGAAGTATGGATCAAGGGCATACCAGAAATCTCTCTAGTATCTTTGTAACTTTTCCATAAATCCACAATTGCTCTAAAATAAAAAGGTAAAAAAGGTTTTTATTGAAGTATAGTTGATTTACAATGTTGTGTTAATTTCAGACGCACAACAAAGTGATTCGTATATATATATATATGTTCTTTTTCAGATTCTTTACCATTATAGATGATTACAAGATATTGAGTAGAGTTCCCTGTGCTATACAGTAGGTCCTTGTAAAAAGTTTAAAAAATAGAAAAAAAAAAGCCATGCCATGTGCATTCACATATATGTTCATTCCAAATAATTACTGATTAATAATTAAAGTAAGTTTCATCTTTAATCTAATCCCCCCAAACGTATCTTTTTATCAGCAGTAACCATCTAAATGGTAAACATTTCCCATTAATTCTATTTGTAGAATTTACACTAAAGAAATAAGGAGAGATACAAAGATATATGCATAAAAAAAGTTACCTCAGCTATTTGCAAGTGCAAAGAACTGGAAGCAACCTATCTGTCCAGTAATGAGGGATTAGTTAAATAAACTACAGCAGAGCCATGCAATGGAATTTTATAAAATCACTAAACATGCTGTTTTTGAAGAATGTTTAAGGTTGTGGGCAAATGAAAATAGTTTATAAAACTGCATTTATGGTCTTATATATAGTTTTATCCTCATTTTGTTTCATGCACACATGCACAAACACACCACATAAAGCAAAATCATAT